ATTTTTTAGAAATCGAGGAATCGCGAAATATATAGAAATATAACCAAACGTCAGAATTAGACACTTTGACAATATGCCAATGATAACAGTAAAGAGAAAAGAACGATTCAACCGCATGTCGGCGCACGTGATTAACCGCTTACATGAGACGCGCTCATGTAAACATAGAAGCGTCACAACGCGTCTATGTTTACATAGAAAAAACTGTGGAAAAGCAGCACAATCTAATAAAAAACCTGTAAAGAACTACTACTGTAAGTCTGATATTTCATGTTTATATCATGGTGACAGGCTGAAAGCTGCTGTTCGTTGTTTTCACAGAACATTTATTGTTAATAGTCTACTGGTGTTATACCTTCAGAAGTCAGAAAGAGCTTTATTACAAAGTATGTTTACACAGACAAGGAATTTGACTAGTGACAGGAGCTTCCAGTGCAGAAGAACGTATGGAAATAGTGCAGCAGACATAGGAACACCGTAGAGATGGAGTATAACACTAATATAAGAAAAACAGAAAATTAAATAATGCACTATATACAGAAGCAGAAATATAGAGAAATCTAACTGTTTAAATGAATGTACAGATATATTTACAAGTGTGCAGTATACAAATGTACAATTTTGGATTCTATGTATAAAGTCAGTCATTTTGAATTTTAATTACATTGTTGAGATTGTTTTTTAAAGCATTTTCATTGTAGCCTATTTCTAAACATATAACATGTATAAGTTTGTACAGGATGTAGTTGTAGTTCATGTATCTTTTCTGCAAAGATATTTAACAAGTGATTTGTTTAACGTTTACATTATGTTGACAACATGTGTGCTGCACTTGGAATAGAATTTTCTTTAACTAGAGGGTTAATAAAGAAAAAGTTATTTGAATCATGTTGTAGTTACATTTTTAAGTTGACTAGTTAAAATCGTAAAAAAAATCGAGAATCGGTCAAACATTCTGAAAAAAATCTAGATTTTATTTTTTTGCTAAATCGCCCAGCACTACTAGTTACTGTGATTTAATTACTTTTCCCTTGAAAAATTAAAGTAAGGGATTGCTCTTATTTTTTCTGTAATTTAATTACAGTTACTTCTTACGTAATTGAACTTAATACTGTGTAGAACATTTATATACAACACAATAGTGGATTTAACATCAAAATTTAAAGTCTAACCTTAAAATGCATGCTTTTTATGTACCCCTCTCACTTTTAAATTCTTTGGTGAGTTAATAAGAATATTGGTAACACTTTAGTGTCCAATTCTCAATATTAACTAGTTGGTTATTAACATGGCTATTACAGGGATATTGGTTGTTTATTATTACTTAAAAAGCACGTTAATGTCTTATTCTGAAGACCTTATTCTAAATCCTTAGTGCTACCCAATTCTTAAACTTAATTGTCAACAACTACTTTACTAAGTATTAATATGCAGTAATTAGGAGTATATTGAGGCAGAAGTATACTTAGTTTATAGATAATAGTTAGTTAATAGTGAGAATTGGACCCTATAATTTAAAGTGTGACCAGAATAATTTATGTATTATTTATTTGAAAGAATTAAAAGAACCATTTCATGTCTATCCTTGTATCATTAAATTATTGAGGTTGATATAGGATTTAGAAAGTAATGTAATTAACTAGTAATTAATTACTTTTTTTGGAGTAACTTATCCAACACTGATCGTTATAGGGACAAATGTTGTGTACTTGCACAAAGTAGATAAAACAGACTATTTCCTTGTAAAAGGGAATATACGTGACCCTCTCTGTGAAATCCAGGCTAAAGTCTCAATCTAATTATGAGATAATAAGCATCAAAGTTTGATTTCAGCCATTAATTTCACATGGTCTTACTCAGTCAATATTAAAGATATCAATGTTACATTTTCACAGAATGTTCTTTACCTTATGAAGTATGATTTTATGTAGAAAACAGTAAATCACCCAAAAAATGACTTTAGCTGGGTTTTCAAAGCCAGGGTCACATATTTGACCAAAAGTGCACTAAGATGTTATACAAGTCTTTCATGACAAAAGGAAAGTTACTCCAAGGGGGAAAGTTTTATTGGAATTCTATCCTAAAGAACGTTAACTGGAGACTGTTACTCTACAAATTTCGTATTTCAAAAAAGTAAGATAAATTAATTTAAAGATCTTGCATAAAATTTACCCAGACAATATTTTACTCTCGAAGTTTATAAGAAAACCTATCCATGTTTTTGTTGAACTTACAATTCTAAGTTGAAACAGCTTGTACATCACATAATGATCAAAATGCTCAAATGACTACAAAAACAAAAAGTATTCAATGCACCTATCATGTTTTGCAGCTTGCAAATTTTCTGATTTGTGACCCTGGAAGTCCCTGGGGTATATTTGTAGCAATAGCCAAAAATACATTGTATGGGTCAAAATTATTGATGTTTCTTTTATGCCAAAAATCATTAGGATATTAAGTAAAGATCATGTTCCATGAAGATATTTTGTAAATTTCCTACTGTAAATATATCAAAACTTAATTTTTGATTAGTAATATGCATTACTAAGAACTTCATTTGGACAACTTTAAAGATGATTTTCTCAATATTTAGATTTTTTTGCACCCTCAGATTCCAGATTTTCAAATAATTGTATCTCGGCCAAATATTGTCCTATCCTAACAAACCATACATCAATGGAAAGCTTATTTATTCAGCTTTCAGATCATGTATAAATCTCAATTTCGAAAAATTGACCCTTATGACTGGTTTTGTGCTCCAGGGTCACATATGATTTTTTAAGGGTTGAAACTCATGAAACCCACTTGAAATATTGTACAATATCATTAAGTCTATTCATGACAATTAAGCACTCTCATTAATGTAGTTGTCAAACCGATATTATTTAAATTAGCATTTTATATTTATATAATTATATAAATAAGTATTTCTGTATCACTGCATTACTTTTGATTTATAACCTGTAATTTAGTGTCATTTTATTATTATTTATTAAAACCTAATGTTAATTTTAAAAATTAAAAAGTAAAATTATTGTGATAATGTGTTAAATTGCCATGAAAATAGCATCACAATGGAAAAATATGGTTCTAAAATAGGCTGTTTTCTTCATGCAATATAGAATTACAGTACTTATTTTTATTCTGACGTGTTTTCATTAGATTCACCCAAAGAGACTGTGTGTCCGTCATCACCGGGTTTGTGTTTATGTGTATTTTTCAAGTCCTGATGTGCAATTTGTGAGAGTAAAGTTCCTTTGTGAAAACACTAGTTTCTGAAAAGTTTGAAATTTGATGAAAACCCAGACTTCTCACACTTGGTATTTGCTCTACATGCAGTTTAAAATGCAGTTTTATTATAGCTGATCAATGTTTTGCAAGAGAATAGGGAGGTGAATTAAATTAGCAAAGTGTCATTTTTGCACCTGCATAACATGACAAAATGGCATTGCAAAATAATACATTTTCAAGTCTGTTTAACGAAATTTAATTAATGCGAACATCTTAAGCTTAGTGATTAATTTTCTTCAAATGGATGCACTTCGGTGTCATGAGCATTGCCACAAAAATGAAAAATTTCCATGTTGTAACGTTGTTATTTCACAATTTCGGTAATTTTGGCGAGAGGTGAGCGCAACATTAGAGAGAATGAAGGGCATTGCTTCACAGAACAAAATTTCATAATAAAGCAATTGACAAAAAGGTTAATCTATAACCACAAGAGCAACAGAGCAAATGCAATAGAGTCTATAAAACGATTCCTACACAAACACAAGAACATTCCAGACAAGACACTGAGAGAAACAGCCAACTGACTCCTGAAGAAAACAATCCCCAGTCACACCTGAGCTCAAGCTCATGATTAAGTGTACATGTGCCAGCCAGTGACTCATGGGTATTAAAATCTCCCGTCAGCAGCAGAAGAACCTCCAGAGACGCTCAGAAAAACCAAAACAACTTAGTGTGTGTGTGTGTGTGTTTGTGTGTGTGTGTGTGTGTGTGTGTGTTTGGGCCCTGAAGATCTGTCCCACTCCTCCAGAGGCCACAGCGAGTTCAACATTCAGAAATACACCTTCAGGCCCACAATTTGAGCATCTATCATAACAAGAGCACAGTAAACTCAGCTCAGCATGCAAGATGGTCATTCTGTGTCGCCTCAACCAGAGGTCCCCAGCTAAAAATATTGATTTTGATCATTTTTTGCTGTTGAAAGAAGTACATGAATGAAGAAGAAAAGGCAAAACATTAAATATCATGGATGTATTTCCACTCAGTAATCCACTATTTTGTAGAAGGGGATCAAAATGACAATTTGAAAATGTGTATAATTTAACAATTTGTCGCACTGAGATCACTATATATAAAGGATTGAACCATATAAATGAGGATAGCAAAAGAAAAGTTTAGGAACCAGGATGTGAAAGTATATTGAGAGTACTATTAATACTTCTCGAGTTACAGTCATACAAACTTTGGAAAAAGAATATTTGTGGCACTCGGATAGGTGTGTTATATGCAATCATTTTGACAGAGGGAAACAAGGTATATTTCTATTTTCAACATTATTTGTTCTTCAAACATTCCTTTTATTAAAGAAACAAGCATCAGCTGTATGCAAAGTGACGCATATTTGGTTTTTGACAACTGAAAATGTGTACAATTTAACAATTTACTCCTGGAGACATTGAGATACCAATATCTCTGCTGAATTAGGGCATTAAAAATGAAGATAGCAAAAGAAAAATGTGTTAAGAACCAAAATCGGTAACACTTTACAAAAAGGTTCATTAGTTAACATGAACTAAGAATGAACAATACTTCTACAACATTAATGTTAATTTTAGCATTTACTAATGCATTATTAAAAATCACAAGTTGTGTTTGTTAACATTAGTTAAAGGGGTCATATGATGCGATTTCAATTGTTCCTTTCTCTTTGGAGTGTTACAAGCTCTTGGTGCATAAAGAAGATCTGTAAAGTTGCAAAGACTAAAGTCTCAAATCCAAAGAGATATTCTTTATAAAAGTTAAGAGTCAGCCACGCCTACCTAAAACGGCTCGTTCTAACACGCCCCCACATGTCTACGTCACGATGTGCGAAGATTTGCATAACACCGCCCAAATGTTCACACAAAGAAAGAAGGAGTAACTTTTATTCTCGCTGTAATATTGAAAAGTGAAAAGTGAAAAAGTGAAAAGTGACGTGACATGTGGCCAAGTATGGTGACCCATACTC